AAAAAATGGCGCTGTTTTTATAATGTTTTCTTATATGAAAATAAAAAGGTTTTTCAAAAAAGGGTCACGAGAAGATCTAGCTCTAGGCACAAGCTTTCAAACAAAAAAAAATGTTTGACTTTAGCTCTTATTGTGATAGAGTTCTGCTGGAGATACGTCGTTGAGCCCATGTTCTGAGAAAAATGAAAAATGATTTTCGGTTTTTTGTAAAAACAGTTTGTTTTTCGAATAGGAAGTGACGAAAATTCTCCAAATTTTTGAAAAAAAAGAGATGCCGAGCAAAAGTTTTTGTCATTTATGAAAGAGCAGATGATGGGCTATTCCTCTATGAATTTATCTCAATTTTTTATCATTTTGACGGAAGGTGACTTTTTTGAGGGGAGGTCTTCAATGAGCGCCTGTGTTAGTGCATAGTAAACTAAAACTGTACACCCTGAAAATATGACTATATTAAATTGATATCTTATTTTTCTTTTAAAGTGATAATTGATTCGATTATGGATTAGAATACTTCAATCGTATACAAAAGATGTTAGTTGATATCAAAGAAACACACATGACGAAGACAGAATATTTATTTCTAATTGTTCATATTATTTTTGAATAATTTTTGTTGCCCGTTTGAGTACTATTCTGTGTATGTCAATCGATTGTAGACTAGGCAACCTGCCGATCAGCACGGTCATTCTGTAGACAGGAAAAAAACGAATGGAAATGGGTGCTTACAGAGCACGCGCATTTTTCACGATTAACTTCACACATCACCGATTGAAGACGATTTAGCATACACACATCGAGATAAAAGATGTTTTTTTTTTCTTGTTTATGTTTGTATATATATGTTACGGTCAAAATTGGAATCTGGTCAAATTCTAAATTTGCCTGGTAAAAATTAGAATTCCAGTTTCGTCCGGGCAAAATTAGGATTCTAATTTCGACCGTATTGTTCTTGGACAAAATTAGAATTCCAATTTTGTCCGGACGAAATTAGAATTGGACTAAAAATAAATTGATCAAGTTGAAAACAGTTAGAGCTTGAATAAATAGTTTTCTTATTTTACAAACTATTTAAAGATGCCACAAACCCAATGTTTGAGATTGGGTATTATAAGGTTTGGATTTGAGATCATATTTGAATTTGATTTGGAGTTGTGTTTGGGTTTCAAATAGGATTTTATTTGATTTTAGAGTCAATGTGGATTTGGAGGTTTGGATCTGGCGTCCCATGGATCAAAGTCCAAAAGATCTGGTAAAATGTGGTGTTACCAACAACATTCTACACTACTAGTGGTAGAATAGAACTAGAAAAAAGATTTTGGCTTCTGCAACCGAATCCAAATCCAGACACAAAGGATTTAGTCGTAAATCCTAAAATTCTTTTTTGGTTCTACCCAATCCTAGTATAGTAAGTTGTTGCTTGTGACACCATATCTTACCAAATCCTTTGGATTTTGAACCGCTGGAGATCAAATCCAAATAGAATAAAAAACCAAATCAAATCCAACTTGAAAACCAAACACAAGTTCAAATCAAATTCAAATATGATCTCAAATCCAAACCTTATAATACCCAATCTCAAACATTGGGTTTGTTGCATCTTTAAATAGTTTGTAAAATAAGAAAACTATTTATTCAAGCTCTAACTGTTTTCAACTTGATCAATTTATTTTTAGTCCAATTCTAATTTCGTCCGGACAAAATTAGAATTCTAATTTTAACCAGGCAAATTTAGAATTTGACCAGATTTCAATTTTGACCGTAACATGTATTTACAAATTCAAAAAAAAAAGAGAAGGAGCCAAATGATGACAACTAGATGACGAGTCTGAGACATATTTTCGTGAGATTGTATTGTAGAATGTTTTATTTAACTCATTATCTTGCTACTTGAAAGAAAATCGAGACATTTGTCTGATGGCTTTCTAAAAATGTAGGCTTAAAATTTACCGCCAACAAAAACAACTCGGTTATTCATCCGTTCTTTATATTGTCATTACTCAATCACAACGTAATGATATACACAGTTGCCATTATTTCTTATTATTCAGTCCTTCAATAAAAAAAAAAACAAGTTTCTTTTTCGTCTGAGTCATATGAATAATATAAAACGAGAAGGAAACTATATATAGGTGTATGATGAAGGTGAGCCTGCCTACATTAATGTGTTTACAGGTTTTTTTAAATTTTTTATTATTATTCTTTTAGAAAATAATACAATTTTGTCGTTTATAAAACAAAATAGTTTTCAATGGCAAATTCTACTAAGCGTGCATCAACTCACATGCCAAAATATGAGGTAAGAATTTGAATTTTTTGTTCTATTATTCGTAAGAATAATTATTTTGATGGTGAAAAGACAATACCAATTCATTTTAATACTCCAACATCTGGTGTTTCAACAGATATTGCTGATATACAAAATTATATTCGTGAAGTATTAGAAAGAAAACGATTCTTTGATTTCTTATTATTTATTGATTTTTATTGAGCAGAAAGCAGAAAAAAATTTAGAACAATGTAAAACATTTGAAATATCATTACCACCATCAATTACTGGTATAACTAGTGAATCAAATAAAGTAAATTAATATAATGTACTGTACGGGTATTGAATAGTCAATTTTATTTTTTAGATTGAATTTAAATCATTATTTCAAACTCCAACATTAAACGAACTTGAAGCTGTATCAACTAATCCAGATGGATCATCGTTGAAATTAAATGAAGAACAATTGAAAGCAGTTCGACAAACAGGGTAAATGAAGAAATATTTTTCT